ACGCCGCGCAGCCGAACGGCGGCCGAGTGCCGGGCGCGGCGACGGCGGCCCGCAGGGGCCAAGCGCAGGCCGCGGCCGGGGCGCGCTCTCGGGAGGACGCCACCTGGCGGTGCGGCCGGGCCCGCGGGGGAGGGGCGCCCCGCGACCAGACCTAGGCCACGCCCCCCGCAGACCACACCCCCAGGCCGCAAGCCTGCCTTCGGACCGCGAGCGCGGCAGGTGCGGAGTCCAGCCGGGGTGCGACACCCATCGATGAACGCCTGCTCAAGAGTCTCCGAGGCTCCCTTGAGTGCTCAGCACGGCATTCAAAGCCTTCATTATTTGATTTCACCATGCTTTTCCACTAGCAAAGACAGGCTGGTGGCACAGGACTTTGGCTTGGGGCTAGCCGACTTGGGTTTCCTCCCCGCTGCAGCAATCCATCTTAAAGATTGCATCTGTTCTGACCTCATGGTCGACGACAGATGGTGTGTGGTAAGGCCTTCCTACCCGATTCCCACTCCCTGTCCCCAGGGTCTCTATTCCCCAGTCCTCTCCAGAGGCCTGGCCTCTCTGGATACAGGCTGCAGTTTCCTGGGCCTAGCCTGGGAAGGCCATGCCATGGGAATCTTAGGTAGCCAGTAAGTCCAGCCTACCTGCCTCCTGCTCCTGAAAACCCTCCCACCCTAAAAGCCTCCAGCACTTTATAGGACCTCTTTTCCAGTATTCATTTCTCTGAAGGAGGTGGCAGTCCACTTTTGGAATTGTTAAACAGGGCAAGAAAGACTTGAATATGGCCAGAAGAGGCCAGTATAGGGCAAGCAGGAGGCCACAAATACGGGAATGTGCCTTACATAAAATGCCTATGACTGGCCCCAAGGCAGGCTTGAGTGAGGATGTTGGGTGTGGTTAAGGAGAAGAAAATCCCCTGGGAGAGGGGATAGAGAGTAGGGAAGGGCATCAAAGAGAATGCAGCCAGGCACAACAATGAGCCAATGAGACCTTATCCTGTACATAAGGGGACATGGCTGCCGTAAGGCCCCTCCTGTTCAGGAGTCCAGAGTTTAGAGAGACCAAGGTCTCCATATTACTTAGAATCTCTAAGAAGTCATCTCTAGATTTAAAAGATAGTAACACTCTTTCTATTCTCATTTCTTCTTTCTTCCCATAATAAGATCTCTCCAAGGTTGCTCCAAAGCCCATGGGAGAGAAGGTTCTGGTGGACATGGGGCTCTGCTAATGGTGGCCAGGCCACAAGGGGGCAATGCTGGGTTCCAACAAAGGACAAGCAAGGGGAATAGGATAGCTCCCTTAGCGCCTGGCAGACAGGTACTCAATAAACAGTAGCTTCCCCTCTCTTCCTTACCAGTGAAACCCATATGTAAACACAGCAGAAACCAAAATAAACTAGCAAGGTTTAGAAAATAAGTACCCATATATATAAATAAATGTACACTAGACTTAAAAGACAGTAACACTCTTTCCATTCTCACTTCTTCTTTCTCTTGTAATATGGAATGGCAGGTAGAAAGATCTCTCGAAGGTTGCTCCAAAGCCCATGGGAGTAAATGTTCTGGTGCACTTGGGGCTCTGCTGATGGGAGCCGGGCCACAAGGGGGCAATGCTGGCACCAGGCCCAGTCACCTCTGTACCACTCGTTAGTAGTCTGGTTAGTGGCTGCCAGGTACAGAACGAAGCACAGGTAGGCACCCAGGAGGAAGCTCAGGACCACAACAAAGCCCAGCACGAAGACAATCCTTGGAAAGGCCAGGAACAGGTACTGGGGGCAAAGAAGAAGCAATGTGTTAGGCAATCGAACTATGACATCTGTAAGGGTGGGCACCCACCAAGCCTGGTCCTATTCATAGACAACGCAAGTCCTGTCCATAGCTCGCTTACTTGCATCCAAATATGAACCACTGAAAACAAACAGCACTGACAAATAGGCCAGGAATCATTCCAGTATGTATAAGAGTTTACTGTGGAATAAATGAAGTGTTCACATTGAGGGAAAAGGGAAAGGTCACTCAGAAAAGGCTATAGTAGCTAGCTATTTATAAAATTAACACTCTTCAAATATAGACCTTCGTTCATTCATCAAAATAAAATCCAGACGGACAAAAGAGATCAATGTCTCTCTTAAAGAAATACAACCACAAAAATATATGTATAAAGATATTCACTGCAGCATTGATTTTCACAGTCCCTCAAGTTAAATGTGGCATGATCACAGCCACCCCAGCATCGACCTGCTGGGCTCCGGCGATCCTTCCACCTCAGCCTTCCAAGTAGCCAGAACTACCAGCGTGCACTACCATGCCCGGCTAATTTTTGATTTATTGTAGAGAAGAGGTCTCGCCAAGTGGCCCAGGCTGGTTTTGGACCCACGGGCTCTGGCAATCCACTCGCCTTGGCCTCCCAAAGTGCTGGGATTACAGGCTGAGCCACCAAGCCTAGTCACTTTTCATTTTAAACAGTTTCTGGACTGCTTGAATAAAAATTATAAGTTACTTCTGTAATAAAGAAAAGGAAGAATCTAGAACGAGTTCAATATTTTTGAGTCTCAAGAGAAGTAAGCATTTGCCAAAGGTCTTGATGAAGTCTTTCTGATTGAAGCTACAAAGATACACGTTTGATGAGGAAAAAAGTCTAAACCTATTTATAAAAAAAATCCCCAAATACTCATACCCAATGTCCAAAAGATACACAAATAGAAAACAAATATAACAGAATTAACTATCGCTCGTACTTATATAAAGACCTCAAATCAAGTTATTCTGATATCAAATAGGTAAACTGTTAAAGGATATAATTTCTAAAAGAATTTAAACAAATGACTGACAAATAAGGAAAGACAGAAAGTAACTCAAAAAATATGTTTTTTTTTTTAAAGGGCACACCACATTTTCCCAGCAAACTAGAAGAGCCTCCCCACTCCAGGCAGCAGTAGTACTTGCTCTGATGCAGTGAGAAGAACACTTAAATACTACTCTTAGCATAAGCTGTAAAACCTGGGCCGAGCATAGTGGCTCATGCCTACAGTTGAGCACTTAGGGAAGCTGAGGCAGGAATATCACTTGAGCCCAGGAGTTTGAGACCAGCCTGGGCAACATAGTGAGACACCTTCTCTACAAAAAATAAAATAAAATAAAAACTTTTAAAAAGCAATTTGACAATACATTAACCCTTTGCACTCAGAGACACCTTGTGGATCACCTAACAGCAACTCAACCACATTTTTTACAAAATAATGAAAAACAAATCACTTCATATTAGTTTGTCGTATGATATTTGGTTTATAGTGGAATTTGGAAACTGAGGAACTTATTTGTAACAAAAAAAATCCAAACTTTATATCTTATATTTTTCTAACATGTGGTAACATGTGAAACAGTCACAGCTTGTATTGTAGGTCCACTGAAACATGTTGTGCAATATTTGTTTGATGTTTTCCGCCTAGTGTTTTTCTATTTGAACGGACAATGCAGTCTAGTTTTCTTCCTCCCACATTAAGACAACTGTGATAAAAGCTAAAAATCCCTGTCAGTCAACGTAATGCCACTTATGCCAAATTGATTTATATGATAGCTGCTTTTTCCTTATTTTTTGATCCACATACTGACTTGTGTATTACACTAGCCACTAATTCATCTGTAAAATACAGAGTAAAATAGTCAGTTGGTTCTCTTATATTACTTGCTATTTGTGGTCCTGTTGTTTGAGGATGTACAACACAATTTATTCTCACTGAAAGATGGTCTTTTTCTGTAACATCTTCCCATTCTTCACTTGATGATACATTGTCTTCTATTTCTTCAAACTACAAACACTTTCATCACTATCACTTTCCATTACATTTGCCTGTTTTCTTCTTGGTGGCATATCACTATTGCTACTATCATTTTCTTCCACATCAATGTTTAATGTATAAAAGTCTAAATCTAACTCATCTTTGCTGCTGCTTATACTTCTCACTTTTGTATTTTTGTTTTACCATTGTTCTGCAAACTAAATAAATGAATTAAAAATTTCTAATTGTAAATTGTGAAATCACAAAATGAAATTTATCCAAAGAATATTACTTTTCCAATTTTACTTTTCTGACTTAGTGCAGCTAGATATATTCAATCTGTGCTAGATATTTCAATACAATCTGCCTTCAACTTCAAGAGTCTCTTTCTTTTAAGGCTTGCTTACAATAACTTGCTTATCTATCTTTTCAAGTTATACCACATGATACAAAGGGTATACCCATAGCTGCCTTTCTTATGCTCTTTATGCTACCTTCTGTTACAAAGAAGTGTCAACACAACTATGAAAGGCACTTCACATTCTTTCTATGTAACGCCAGCTGATGCTTTTAAACATATATCTCAATATATATTCCATCCCTTTATTTGCTTTTTTGTGCAACTTGAATGGAAAACATCAAGCAAACACCCATTTTTGAAAAATCTGCACTGACATAAGCTTGTCCTGCATAATGGTGCAATCTCTTTATGTCCTCTAAGAGGGTTTACTAGATTTATATGATGTCCCCTCAGCAAGAACATCCAAATGAAGATGTTAATATCAGAAGTTTTATAAATGTTGATAATCTTTTATCCAATATTTATATTTTTTGGAATCTTTCCTAAAGAAATATTCCTAAATACAAAAGCAAAACCATACACACAGATTATCCATTGCAAAGGGGGAAAATGTACATTACCAATGGAAAGAGCTAGTGGCCAGCACCTTAACCAACAGATCAAACTTGGCATCACTGTCCCTATGTCCCATTTGATGGGATGCAATATGAAATGCACATTGCTGTGTAGAAAGTATTTTTGCTAAAAAATATTCAACTTGAATTTAATCAAGCGTATAAAACTAATTTTCAATTTACACTAATATAAAGAAATAGAGAGAAATTAGATGGCACAATTAGACAAATCTAGAACATGGGGCATTTTGAAAGACAACTAGACTACAAAAATACCATGAAAAAAGGTAGAAGCATTGTTTTGGACTAACAGAGACTAAAAAGACATGACATTAAAATGCAGGGCAGCCGGGCTCGGTGGCTCAGCCTGTAATCCCGCACCTTGGGAGGCTGAGGTGAGTGGATTGCCTGAGCCCGCGGGTTCGAGACCCGCCTGGCCAACTTGGCAAGACCTCATCTCTACAATAAATCAAAAATTAGCTGGGCGTGGTAGCACACACCTGTAATTCCTGCTACTCGGAAGGCTGAGGTGGAAGGATCACTGGAGCCCAGCAGGCCGAGTCTGGGTGACAGTCTGGGTGACAGAGTGAGACTCCAACTCAAAAAAAAAAAAAAGCAGGGCATATCTATAAAGTGGATTCTGGTTCAGGGAAGTAAAAGAGCTACAAAAGATATATTTGGAACAATAGGAAATCAATAGAGGCTAAATAAAATATAGTAAAAAACAATATTTTCTTAGGTAGAATAATAGAATTTTAGCTATACAGAATGTAAACATTCTTAAAAGATGCACACATGCACATGTATTTAAGAGTGAAGTAACATAATGTCTCTAACTTATTTCTAGTAATACAGAAACACACACAGATAAAACAAATTAAAATGTTAAGTTTGTAATCTCTGTGGAAGGCATATGAGTAGTTACTTTTGTTATTCTTTTAATTCTTCTGTATATTTAGAAATATCCATAATCGAAAAAAATTTAAGAATTAAAAACCACTCAAGGTGAAAACAATGAGTCATCACTACACCCCTAACAGAACAGCTAAAGTTTAAAACAGTGATAACATTAAATGCTGACAAGGATGCAAAGAACTGGTCACTTAAACACTGCTAGTAGGAATGCAAAATAATATGATTGTGCTAGAAGAGTATGGCAGTCCTTTCCAAAACCTAAAATGGACTTATCGTATGACCCAACAATTACACTGAAGACTTATTTTCTTGCAGAAATTTCTAAATGAACATTCATAGCAACTTTGCTCATAATTGCTGAAAGTTGGACAGAACCCAAATGTCCTTCAAAACTCCATACCATGAAATACTACACAGCAATAAAAAGGAATGAACTACTAATACATGTAACAACTTAGATATATCTCAAGCAAATTATGCTGAATGAAAAGGGCCCATCTCAGAAGAATACATACCATGTGATTCTTATTTATGAAACATTTGTGAAGCCGGGCTCGGTGGCTCAGCCTGTAATCCCGTCCCTTTGGGAGGCTGAGGTGAGTGGATTGCCTGAGCCCACGGGTTCGAGACCCGCCTGGGCAACTTGGCAAGATCTCATCTGTACAATAAATCAAAAAAAAAATTAGCCGGGCGTGGTAGCGCACGCCTGTAGTTCCAGCTACTCGGAAGGCTGAAGGATCGCCGGAGCCCAGCAGGCGAGGCTGCGGTGGCCGGGAGTAGCCACTGCACTCCAGTCTGAGCGACAGAGTGAGACGCCAACTCAAAAAAAAAAAAGAAACATTTGTGAAATAACATAATTATAGAGCTGGAAAGCAGATTAGTAGTGACCAGGGATTATGGCTGCAAGAAAATGATGGGTGCAGATATAAAGGGGATACCACAAGGAAGTCTTGTGGTGATGGTACAGTTAGCATCTTGATCATATATTATAGTGGATATATATTACACACGTGACAAGACTGTACAGAGCTACACATGTACATACACACACAAGTACACACACAACTGGTGAAATCTGAATCAGCTCTATGGATGTGTCAATGTCATTTCTTGGTTTTAGCATTGTATTGGGGTTATATGGGATGTTGGAATGGGAGGAGGGGGGTTAGAAGTGCATACTATTTCTTTGTAACCTCTGGCAAATATAATTATTTTATTTTATTTATTTATTTTTTTTTTTTTGAGTTGGAGTCTCACTCTGTCACCCAGACTGGAGTGCAGTGGACGCTCCCAGCCACCACAGCCTTGACCTGCTTGGCTCCGGTGATCCTTCCGCCTCAGCCTTCCAAGAAGCTGGAATTACAGGCGTGCACTACCATGCCCAGCTAGTTTTTCAATTTGTTGTAGAGATGAGGTGTTGCCAAGTTGCCCATGCGGGTCTCGAATCCGCGGGCTCAGGCAATCCACTCACTTCAGCCTCCCAAAGCGCGGGATTACAGGCTAAGCCACTGAGCCCGGCAAATCTAATTATTTTAAAATATGAATTTAAAAAATACTACTGGCTTTAGAACTAAGTGATGAGTGTGTGTATCATGTTAAAAATATCCTACAGTTTCTACTTTTTGAGTGCTTATATTATAATCATGTGTTTAATTCTGTGAAAGGCTTTTCAGCATCTAGAGCCATAACATGCAATTGCTCCTTATATTTAATAATATGGTGGATAATACTAATCAATTTCCTAATACTGAACTAATCTTGCATTTCTAGAATATATTCCACTTGTATATGACATATTATTTTCTTTGAAACAAAAGAAATAAAACATTCAAAAAGAATCGGTCAAGCGGGGCTCGGTGGCTCAGCCTGTAATCCCGCGCCTTTGGGAGGCTGAGGTGAGTGGATTGCCTGAGCCCACGGGTTCAAGACCCGCCTGGGCAGGCGAGACCTCATCTCTACAACAAAATCAAAAAATTAGCCGGGCGTGGTAGTGAGCGCCTGTAATTCCGGCTACTCGGAAGGCTGAGGCGGAAGGATCGCCGGAGCCCAGCAGGTCGAGGCTGCGGTGGCCGGGAGCGGCCACTGCACTCCAGTCTGGGCAAAAGAGTGAGACTCCAACTCAAAAAAAAAAAAAAAGAATCGGTCAGTTACCTAAAAAAATGACTGCTCATATGCTAGTTCCCATTTTAAAAGTATAAATCTTTTATTGATCAAATGAGTTTTTTTAAAAGAATGGTTTCAACTCTTACACTACAGTATATTAATATTTACAAGGGTGCCAAAACATTTCAGTGGGAAAGAAAAGCCTTTTCAAAAATGGTGTGGGGACAACTGGATATCCACATATTAGGAATGGAGTTGGCAGTCAAGTACAGTGGCTCATGTCTATAATCCCAGTACTTTGGGAGGTACAGGTGAGAGGACTGCTTGAGCCCTGGAGTTCATGACCAGTCTGGTCAACATAGTGAGACCTTAACTCCCCCAAAATTAAAAAAATTAGACAGGCATGGTGGCATGTGCCTACAGTCCCAGCTACTCAGGAGGCTAAGGTGGGAAGATCGCCTAAGCCCAAGAAATCAAGGCTACAGTGAGCCATGATCATGCCACTGCACTCCAGCCTGCGCAACAGAGTGAGAACCCAACTCAAAAATAAAAACAAAAAAGAATGGAGTTGGAACCCTACCTTAGACCATATATAAAAATTAACTCAAAATGGACGACAGACCTAAATGCAAGAGCTAAAAACCACAAGACTCTTAGAAGAAAACAGGTGTATATCTTCATGTCATTGGATTAGACAATGGTTTTCCAGATACGACACTAAAACACAAAAAGGAGGAAAAAACAGATTAATTGGACTTCACCAAAATTTAAAACTCATGTTTTAAACCTAGCCCTTGTGTTTTATTTTATTTTGTTTTATTTTTTTGGAGTCAGAATTTCACTCTGTTGCCCAGGTTGGACTGCAGTGGCACAATAATGGCTCACAGCAGCCTCGACCTCCTGGGCTACAGTGATCCTTCTACTTCAGCCTCCTAAATAGCTGGGACTACAGGTGTGCACCACCACACCCAGCTTATTTTTCTGATTTTTTTTTTTTGTAGAGATGAGGTCTCACTATGTTGCCTAGGCTGGTCTTGAACTTCTGGGCTCAAGCGATTCTCCTGCCTTGGCCTCCCAAAGTGCTCGGATTACAGGAATGAGCCATCATGCCCAGACAGCTCTTGTGCTTTAAACGATAAAAAAAGTGAATAGACAATACACAATATGAAAGAAAATATTTGCAAATAACATATCTGGATAAAGGTCTGGTGTCCAGAATAGATAAGAACTGTTAAACCACAAGAAGAAATGACAAATAACCTAATTTTTAAAATGAGTAAGGGTTTTGAGTAGACATTTCTCCAATGAAGATACAAAAATGGTCAATAAGCACATAAGACATACAAGATCATTAGACTAGGGAAATACAAATGAAACCACAATGAGATACTACTTTATACCCATTAGGATGGCTATAATCAAAAAGTGATATTGCCTCAACTAGATGCAAGGGGTGGGGGAAAGAAAAGACAGGTAATAAAAAAGTGTTGGCAACAATGTAGAGAAATTAGAACCCTCATACATTGCTGGTAGGAGAGTAAAATGGTCTACACTTTGGAAAACAATCAGGCAGCCCCTCAGAAGGTCACAAATACATATGCCCCAGGAATTCCACTACTAGATACAACCCAAGAGAAGTGAAAACATATATCCACATTAAAACATATACATGAATGTTTATAGCAGCATTATTCAAAAATAGCCAAAAAGTGGAAACACTCAAATGTCCATTAACTGATGAATGAATAAATAAAATGTGGTATGTCCCTACAATAGAATACTATTCAGCCATAAAAAGGAGTAAAATACAGATTCATTCCACAATATGGATAAATCTTGAAAACATTAAGTTGCAAGAAAAAAGCCAGTGGAAAGGGCCACATATTGTATGATTTCATTTATATGTCCAGAAAAGGTAAATCCATAAAGACAGAAAGTAGATTCATGGTTGCCAAGGGTTTGAGAGGGTGTTACTTTTTGGCATGATGAAATGTTCTGAAATTAGATGGTTGCACAACTCTGTGAATACACTAATACCACTGAATGGTACACTTTAAAAGGATGAATTTCATGGTATGTGAATTTTGTATCAAATTTTTTAGGAAGGTAAAATGCAATTCCTATCAAAATACAAAAAAAAAAAAAAAAAGGCTGGGCATAGTGGTTCATGCTTATAACCCCAGCACTTTGGAAAGCTGAGGTAGGAGGATCACTTGAGGCCAGGAGCTCAAGACCAACCTGGGCAACACAGGGAGACTCCAACTCTATAAAAAATAAAAATTTAAAAATTAGCTAGGCGTGGCAGCATGTGCCTGTAGTCCCAGCAACTTTGGAGGCTGAAGTGAGAGAACTGCTGAGCCCAGGAATTTGAGGCTGCAGTGAGCCATGATCATGTCACTGCACTCCAGTCAGGGCAACAGAGCAAGACCCTGTCTCTAAAACAAAAAAAGGGAACAATGTCATGTTTTTATTGGAAAAATAAATATGTTTTCCAATTCTGAAACCTGAAATCAGAAACCTACAGCCCACAGCATAATTACCTGAATAAGAAAGACCATGTCCATAACCTGATCATGTCCAAGGTCATCAACGTAAGTCTCCTGATACAGCTCCGACACCACCACCAAGTGGACCAGAAACGCAGTGCTCACAATGGCCATGCTGGCAGCCGAGGCGGTCAATGTCAAGAGGTACACGAGGAAGTACCTGATGTTCCAGGCCCCGATGCAGTTGTTCACCCAAACACAGTGATGGTCAAAACGGTGCACACACCAGTTACACACACCTGCACAGAAACGAGGGTAGTACGCTCTGGTTGGTCCTTGATGAGATAATGACACTGTATACACCTACTGAGATTTTTACAAACACACTATGAGCTGAGGGGTGGGGAGAATGACCACTGCTATCACAAAGCTTCTACAACTGCAGTGTCCAACACCAGAAACAGAGGTTCACACCTATAATCCCAGCACTATGTGAGGCCAAAGTGGAAGAACTGCTTGAGCCCAGGAGTTGAAGACCAGCCTGGGCAACATAGTAAGATCTCATCTCTACAAAAAGTAAACAAATTAGCTGGGCATGCTGGTGTACACCTATAGTCCCAACTATTTGGGAGGCTAAAGCGAAAGGCTTGCTTGAGCCCAGGAGTTTGACACTGTGGTGAGCCGTGATTTTGCCACTGCACTTCAGCCTACAGTGTCCAATATAGTAGCCACTAGCCAAATGTGGGTACTGAACAATTGAAACAAGGCTACAAGAAAAATCTGAAAGAACACTCTGTCAATACTGACAAATTTACAGTTGTTTCTCAAATGACACAGTACTCCTTTGAATGCAATGTGAATAATATGGAGATGACACAAGAATTAGTGAAGTTACTTAACTCAGACAGACACAGTTTTAAAAACTGATGTTTCTGCTTTAAAGTCAAGTCAATTATTCTGAAATGAAGATAAACAACTGTGTCAACATCGATGTGAATAGTAAAGGAAAATGATTTTTCGGTACTGAACTCAGTCACTGAAAAAATGTTTAAAGTGTCTGGATAAGCTGGGCACAGTGACTCACACCTGTAATCCCAGCATTTTGGGAGCAAGGTAAGAGGACTGCTTGAGTCCAGGAGTTTGAGACGAGCCTCGACAACATAATGAGACCCCATCTCTACAAAAAATACTTTTTAAAAGTAGCCAGGCATGTAATCTCAGCTACTGAGGAGGCTGAGGAGGAAGGATCACCTGAACCAAGGCGGTCAAGCTACAGTGAGCCATGATTGTGCCTCTGCACTCCAGCCTGGGTGACAGATTGAGTCCCTGCCTCAAAAACAAACAACGTCTGGATATAACTTGGATATGTGAGACAACTTTTTAAAAATCTAAATATAGATCAAGTATTTCCAATGAAAATGTAGTGTCTGAATCAAGATATACTGTAAATATAAAATACCAGATTTCAAAGACTTATATGAAACACAAAATACAAACTATCTCAAATAATTTTTACATTAAAATAATGTCAGGTTAAATACAATATTGATTAAAATTAATGAATTGTTTCTTTTCACTTTTGTAATGTGACTACCAGACAATTTTAAATCACATATGTGGCTTATATTACAGTTTTGGTAGACAGTGCTAGTCTAGAACCCTGGGCCCTTCCCAGAAGATTAGGCTTTGCCAGGACTGAAATCTGAAAACACAACATCCAGCAGAAACATCTCTTGGGCAGCATGCCCTGCCACATAGCATAGGAAGGGCCGTTATGCTCAGAGCTGAGGGTTGTCCACTACACAAGAACACAAGGCCTCATCCTCAGTCATCTGAAAGGAATCACTATCTGACTCTACAAGTAGTGGCCATTCCATGTCTAGGGATCAACTGGCTCTGCTCTTAGATTCACAAAACATCCCCTCACAAGCAAGCCCACATGTGCTATAGGGAGTGTGGCTGGAGCCACTGGATTCATTACTTACTGCAGTGCTTGGATCGAGCTGGTTTCCTCAAATCACAAGTAGAGCACCTCGTGTCCTTTAGAAACATCACTTTATCAAATTCATAAACTTGAAGAAATAATAATTCACTTGCTTTTGTTATAATGCCTGAAAAAAGTAAGAACATATATCATTTTAAGCAATATGGTGGACTTAACATTTTAAGCAATTCATTTTCTATAGCTGCTTGATTGAGATACAATTTCACAAGCCCAATTAACCCATTTAAAACGTACAATTCAATGATATTAGTATATTCACAGAGTTGTGTAACCATCACAATCTTTCTTTTTTTTTTTTTTTTTTTAGTTGTGATCTCAACTGTCACCCAAACTTGAGTACGGTGGTATGATAAAGGCTCACCACAGCCATAGACTCCTGGGCTCAAGTAATCCTCCCTCCTCAGCCTCCCAAGTAGCAGGAACTACAGGTACACACTACCATGCCTGACTAATTTTTCATGGAGCAAGGTCTCACTATGTTGTCCAGACTGGTCTTGAACTCCTGGACTCAAACAATCCTCCTGTCTCAGCAACCCAAAGTGCTGGGATTACAGGCATGAGCCACCATGCCCAGCCATCCACAATCAATTTCAGAACATGTTCATCACCACCAAAAGAAACCTGTTAGTAGTCACTCCCCATTTCTCTCTAATGCCCCCAGTCCCTGGAAACCACTAATTACTTTCTGTCTCTATGAATTTGCCTGTTCTAGACATGGCATTTAAATAGAATTGTACAATATCATGTCTAGCTTCTTTCACTCAGCATATGGTTTTCAAGGTTCATACATGTTGTTGCATGAATTTGTACTTCATCCTTTTTTACAGCTGAATAATATTCATTGAATGGGCTTATCATTGTATTTATCTATTCCTCAGTAGATGAACATCTTTAAGGACAGAAAAGTTTAAAAGCAAAAGAATGGGAAAAAATTACAGACAACAATCAACAGAAAGATAGCGTAATAAAAAAGAGACTTGAGCCCGGCTCGGTGGCTCAGCCTGTAATCCCACGCTTTGGGAGGCTGAGCTGAGTGCACTGCCTGAGCCCACGTGTTCGAGACCCGCCTGGGCAACTTGGCGAGACCTCATCTCTACAATAAATCAAAAAATTAGCAGGGCGTGGTAATGCACACCTGTAGTTCCAGCTACTTGGAAGGCTGAGGTGGAAGGATTGCCAGAACCCAGCCAGCAGGTTGAAGACTCCAGTCTGGGCGACAGAGTGAGCCTCCAACTCAAAAAACAAAAAACAAAAAAAAGAGACTTGAAAGCAGAGCGCATTAGTAGCGATAAAGAGGCACACTATACAGTGAAGCATCCGCATCCAGGGATTCTGCATCAGCGGAATCAACCAACCAGACAGAAAATATTAGGGAAAAATAAATAAATAATAAGACAACAGTTAAAAAGAATACAAATTTTAAAATATAGTAGTACAACTAATCAAATGACATTTGCATTGTATTAGATATTGTAAGTAATCTAGAGATGATTTAAAGTATACAGGAAGATGTGTGCATGTTATTTGCAAAAACTATGCCATTTTATATCAGGGACTTAAACATCCACAGATTTTAGAATCTCAGGGGGCCCTGGAATCAAGTCCCATGGACACTGAGGGATGGCTATATTTTGAAAAAAGATTTAATTTTACTAGGAAGAGATAATACTAATTCTAAATGTGAATGCATTTTTTTTTTTTGAGTTGGAGTCTCACTCTGTCACCCAGACTGGAGTGCAATGGCCGGTCCCGGCCACCACAGCCTTGACCTGCTGGGCTCCGGTGATCTCTCTGCCTCAGCCTTCCAAGCAGCTGGAACTACAGGCGCGCGCTACCATGCCCGGCTAATTTTTTTATTTTTATTGTAGAGATGAGGTCTCACCAAGTTGCCCAGGCGGGTCTCGGGCCCGCGGGCTCAGGCAATTCACTCACCTCAGCCTCCCAAGGTGTGGGATTACAGGCTGAGCCATCAAGCCTGGCTGTGAATGCATTTATTAAGAACACATATACATAGGCTGGGCATACTGGCTCACGTGGGCAATCACAGCTCTTTGGGAGGCCAAGACAGGACTGCTTAAGTCCAGGAGTTTGATACCAGCCTAGGCAGCATAGTGAGAACTTATCTATACCAAAAAAAAGTCACAAAAATTAGCCAAGCATGGCAGTGTGCATCTGTAGTCTCAGCTACTCAGGAGGCTGAGGCAGAAAGATTGCCTGAGCCCAGGAGGTTGAGGCTATAGTAAGCCATAAGCCACTGCACTTTAGCCTGGGCAACTACAAGGAGAAATCTGTCATGTCTACCCAGAATGAAATAACATATTGCTGTCAGTAACTGATAAGACAAACAAAAAAAGCCAGGAGCAGTGGCTCATACCTGTAATCCCAGCACTTGCAAGACCAAGGTGGGAGGACTGCTTAAGCTCAGGAGCTTGACTCAAAAAAAAAAGGGAAAAAACACACATACACATATACATACACACACATGAAGGGGGACCCAAAAAAATCTGGAATTTATTTATCAAAAATTGTGTATCTACTCTTACATATTTAAATTTCAGTCACCTTCAAAGTACTCTCCTTTTGGTGTAATACACCTATGGAGACACTTTTTCCACTGCTCAAAACAGTTGTTGAACTCATTAATTTTGATGCCTTTTGGTGCTTCTGACATTTTTTTGTTTCACCTTTTCCACATCACAAAAATGTTTCCCTTTGAGGACTCTTTTCATCAGGGGGAAAAAGGTCACTCAGCCCAAGATCAAGTGAATAGGGAGGGTGGGGCACAGAGGTCATGCCATTTTTTGGTCAAAAACTGCTAACACTCAGCGCAGTGTGAGCAGGTGCGTTGTTGTGGTGGAAGAACCATTCACCTGTTTGTCACAACTCGGCATGTTTCTTCCACAAACTGTGATGCAACCTTCTCAAAATTTCCAGACAAAAACTTTAGTTGACTCTTTGATCCAGAGGAACAAATTTCAAGTGTACTACAGGGGCCTGCACTCCAAAAGATAATTTCAGTTTTTTTGTGTCCTCCATGAATATATATATATATATATACACACACATATATATATATGGTTTCAAAATGTGAAGAAAAACTGACTAACTACAAGGAGAAATCTGTCAGTCTATCCAAAATAAGATAACATAATCATTCTTAGTAACTGATTGATAAAACAAACAAAAAAGTCAGGCTCAGTGGCTCATGCCTGTAATCCCAGCACTTTGGGAGGCCAAGGTGGGAGGTTTGCTTGAGCTCAGGAGTTTGAAACCAGCCTGGGCAAGACCTCGCCACTACAAAAAATTTAAAAATTAGCCAGACATGGTAGTATGTGCCTATGGTCCCACCTACTCAGGAGGCTGAGGCAGAAGGATCCCCTGAGCCCAAGAAGTCGATGCTGTGGTGATCCATGATTGTTTCACTGCACAATCTGGGCGACAGAGAGAGACTCCAACTCCAAAAAGCAAAATAATATTTAAAAAAATTAACACAGGTATAAAGGATATGAACATAATTTATAAACTTGATATAATGGAATTCACTGTATCCAAGAACTAGAAAATACACATTCTTTCCAAGGACACATGGGTTATTTATAAAAACTGACCACATGCTTGGGGTTAATGCAAGTATCAATAATATTTTAAGGGCAGGGATGGGATTGGCAGGAGTAGGAAACGGCCAGGTGGGGGGGCACACCTCATCAACAAGGGTACCTGCATAATGAACACTTGTATACCTAATCCTGAACTGTACTCCACATATTTAAAATTAAAAAACTAAAAACTTTTAAAAGGAGACAGTATGATACAGACCACAGGTTCTACATATAACACAATTAAATGAAAGTATCAAAAAAAAAACTAAAATAAAAGTATATTAGAAATCATTTAACAGGTCTAAATAACCCACAGGTCAGAGAAGAAAAAAATGAAAATTCAGAGTTTTCTCACTGAAAACAAAGATAATGAAAACACTACATATTGAATTCTTTGCAAAGACTTTAGGTGGACCCCTCCTTGTTTGCAGCACTATCAGTAAGACAGTGGAGCTGTCGCCTAGCTGTATACTAAGAGCCTCAACTTACCAGGATTGGTTACACATGTTAGGGTAAAGAAAAACAAGTTTACAATCAGCAGCAGATAGGGCAGAAGGAGGTAATACAAGGAGAACTCCAGTTCTTGACAATAGCCAAGTATTTCCCAGGTATATTCAGTATAAATCATCCCTTGCAAGGCCAGGTGCAGAATAATGAAGATGTAGTTTCTGAAAGGAAATCGACACATGGCTTGTTCACAGGGACTCCTCCATGAAGAAATCATACAATACGAAGGAAAGTAATTGGGCCAACTACTTTCTTTGGGCTTGAGATAATAGTAAGCATTAAACTAAGAACGATGTGAATCATTTTACAAGTATTTTACGAAAATACATGTCAATATTCTTCCACTCTCTACACATCTCTATTTTAAAGTAGATACCTCAGAACCCCAGAGATAAAAGGCAGATTAACTGTGAGCAGAGGTGCTGAACCCAGGACTCCTGAGCCTTTCCAGCATCTTTCCCTCAACCTCGCTGGAAACCACAAGAAGTTTCCTAAAGCTAGAGGATCGCAACAATTACTACAGTAATCAAAATAGACTGGATGCAGTGGCTCATGCCTGTAATCCCAGGCTTTGGGGAAGCAAAGGTGGGAGAATTACTTGAGGCCAGAAGCTTGAGAGCAGCCTAGGTAACTTAGTGAGACTGCATCTCTACAAAAAAAAAAAAAATGAGACAGGCATGATGGTGTACACCTGTAGTCCCAGCTATTCAAGAGGCTGAGGCAGGCTGGGAGCAGTGCTTCAACCTGTAATCCCAGCACTTTGGGAGGCAGACGCAAGAGGGTTGCCTGAGCTCACGGGTTTGAGACCAGCCTGAGCAACATGGCTAGACCTCGTCTCTACAATAAAAATAAAAAATTAGCTGGGCATGGTGATGCATGACTGTGGTTCCAGCTACTTGGAAGGCTGAGGTGGAAGGATCGCCTGAGCCCAGCAGGTAGAGGCTGAAGTGGCTGTGAGTGTGCCATTGCACTCCAGCCTGGGTGACAGAGTGAGACTCTGACTCAAAAATAAATAAACAAACAAATAAATAAGACACCAAGGCAGGAGATCTGAGCCCACGAGTTCAAGGCTGCAGTAAGCCATGATTGTGCCACAGTACTCAAGGCTGGATGACAAAGCTAGACCCTGTCTCAAAAAAAAAAAAAGTCAAAACAGAAAAGATTTAATATTTTATCTATCTATCTATCTATTTATTTACTTATTTTGAGAAAGGAGGATTTATTGAGAGGACAGAAAAGATCCCACAGTGGGAGGGGACCTGAGGGGGTTGCCCAAGATTTAATATTTAAACTCTGAAATATAAATGCCTTGTATGGAAGAGGTAATGATGCAATCTTTTCACAGCTCTCTGAAGACATTTTGGAATTATGCGGGAAAATATCTGAAACAAAAGAAAAGATAAAGACTCATTTCTCATTTACCCAAGTCCCAAACAAACTAGATGCACCACATACAGCCAGCAACATGGGCAATACTAAGTTTTGTTTCTGCATATAGGCAAAGAAATGATTTAAGAATAAGAAGAGGACTTCCTTCTTCTGGCCTTCCTTTGATACCACTCCTCCATTTCTACTCTGACCTCAACAAAGGCACCTGTCAGGGTCTTCAGGGAAAGGGAGGTGAGCAGATGGGACAGGTCAGTGAATCCTGATGCGAAGGCCACTCCTTCCCTTGACTGAGTCCAACCCCAGGTTCCAGAATCCACCTCCAAATCACTGGGCATCATCCCAAGTCCCTCCCAAATCAACTCCTTCCCATGGGCTGCTTGCCCCAACTTTGCTCACTTTGATCCCTAAAGGACCTTCGATGAGCAGAAATGCTGAGCTTTCTGCTCATCTGTCTCCCAGGGTCACCCATCAATGCTCCATAGGGGGTTGCCCAGATCAATGTTACCTGCACTCCTACCCTGACAAGTCCTTTCAAGTGATGAGTTTTTGAGTAGATGCAGATCATAATACCACCAATCAGCACCAAAGCCAGGTAGAACAAGAAGAGAACCAGAAAGTCCATCCTGGGGGCTACAAAAGAACAGAAAGAGTGTTATATCTGGTGAGGGGGTTTTTCCATGGCACATATTCTCAGACATCAACTCCCTAATTCACTCCTTAAACAGAATTCATCAGCCCTCAAGCACACACCACAGAGCCTACTGTCTCTCAGTGGGGACTGCCAGATGGTCCCTGGCTCCCTCCTTCAAGATGAAGATTCTGAATCTAACACTGGGGCATCTCCCACCTGCAAGTCCAAAATAAAATGAAGAAAATGCATCCACCTTCCTTCCCCCAGCAACGAATCATTCTTTTACTTCCTTATTCACATAGATATTGATACAGAATGTACCCTCAAAGAATGTGCTGGCAATGCCACCAGAACAAGCAACTCCTAGAGGCAATCAGGGACCCTGCACCCAGGATCGGACATCCTGTCCTAAGCATCCCTCCAGAACAATGGCCACAACCATCAGGGATCACCAGCAGGAACCAGAGTCAAGATGCTGAGACTGGTTACCTTGAGCCTTAGCATTTATGATTCTGGGCTGGAATTCCAACTGAGATAATCAAACCAAAAACTATTCACAGCTAATAAAACAGAGAAAACAAAGATCAGCAATTCTCGTGAGGTGATTCAGGGTCCCCAGCCTACATGTTTTTCTTGGATGGATAATTTTCAGCCCACAGCTCTGGCACTGCTCCTCCAAAGAATTCAAACAGCAGCTCCTCTTGGGCAGTAGTATGCACCTGGCACAAGTAGCACCCGAAGCTACAGGACATAGTTCTGCCTGCAGAGATAGATCGATTCAACACACATAGTAAGTCGGAGTAGAAACACATTATGGGAAAGGAATTGGAAGTAGGAGATGCCAAGTCCCCTGCGGTGTGAACGGGTCTTAAAACTTTGGGAGGAGAAGCTCATTGGGAAGAAATAAGCCAAGCCTTGGGTCTATCCTTATTCCTGAGGGGCCCGCCCAGGAGACCAGACAGATGGGCCTCCCCTAGGCTACTCCTTATCCGAGGCTCCCGGCGGAGGGGCCTGGCCAGACCTTGCCCCGGACCTGGAGCCCGGGTAGAGGGAAGCTGGGTGCTGCAGGAAGCGGGGCACCCAGGCCTCCGGCGAGGCGGAGGTAAAACAGCGGTCCCACCCAGAAGCGAGAAGGGAGGGCCGCACGAGGAGATGGATGGCCCTGGGCTAGCCCGGGTATCAGGGAGCCCCGCGGAGGCGGCCTTACCGCCGGCCTCCGCCAACCGCCAACCGTACGGCGACCGAGCCTCCCGGACGCACCCCGGGACTGTCTGCGGGCCCGTGACGTCAGCGCGGCGCCCGCGGCAAGACCGACTTCCGGCGGAAGTGCTGGGCCGCCGCGAGCTGCCGGGCGGGCTCTCGCCGACGGTGAGTCCTGAGAGTCCCTCTCGGCCAGTTTCGGGGGTGCCTTCGCGCCGCGCTCGGGTGTGAGCTGTGGGAAGGGGGCTTTTAGAGCACTGTTGCCAGAAGACTTGCGGGAGGACCGTCCTGGGTGGGTGCGGCGAGAACGCCGGTGCTGTGCGACCCCCCCCCCCCCACGGCCGAAGGACCCGGATGGCTCGGGGCAGGCCCACTTAGGGGGCTCACAAACTGTATCTTCGTGTGGATGAAGTTTGCTTTCAGCCAGCCACACCGCTGGGATCTGTCCGAACCGATCCAGCATCGACCACCGCAGAAGCGGGTAGAAAGCAACATATGTACCCCTCGGAGTCACATTCCGCTCCACGTGTGTCCTTGCTTCTGATGTCTCCTTAACAGCTCTGAACATCCTCTCCTGGGGGCAGTGACAGATGCTTGACCACAAGCCTTGAGGATAAAAAAGAAGGCTGTTTGGTGATAGACAGGCGTGGGGTGACGAGAGCCGCTTCCAAACATAGCATTGAGAAGAGCCCCGTGGAGTGTTCTTTGCTCTGAACGCCTGTGAATCCGCTGAACCCGAGACTATTCTTGATGCCTCTGAAGGCTTGAGCCAGGCCTATCCTCCCTTTGAAGGGAAATGTCTGATCTCCAAACACTGTCTGCCCTTAAAGCTCTTTTCCTAGCTGTCTTTGCTGTCTACCCCAGCTTAATTCCTTTTCTTTTTCTATTTAAAAAATTCCTTAACAAGCAGGACACCTCCTGTATACATTGTGTCTAAGGTCTCCATGAACTTAGGGACACAGATTTGGAAAGCAAAACGAAACTGTGAAGATGTGATGTGACCAAGGAAGACCGTGGCTACGGATGGGCCCCTATCAGATATCTCGAGTGGGTTAGATAAGTTCATTGGTGACTTGTCGCCTTGCTGGTTGATAATGAGCTGGTGGTTAAATATTTTCTATTACCGTTTTCCTCGTAAATGCAGAACTTTATTTTTATGCCCTTGCTTTTTTGTTGTTGTTGTTGACTGGTCCAGTTCAGGTTAACTTCGAATCTTGGTCTTATTACCTATTGCATTTTGTACTGGGGCCTTTCTTTTTTTTTTTTTTTTTCTTTTGAGTTGGAGTCTCACTCCATCGCCCAGGCTGGATGGAATGCAATGGCATGCTCATGGCCACCCCAGCGTCGACCTGCTGGACTCCGGCAATCATTCCAAGTAGCCGAAACTACAGGCATGCACTACCATGCCTGGTTAATTTTTGATGTATTGTGGAGACAAGGTCTTGCCAACTTGCCTGGGCTGGTCTCGAACCCGCAGGCTCACGCAATCCACTTGCCTTGGGCCCCCAAAGTGCTGGGATTACAGACTTGAGCCACCGTGTCTGGCCACCTTTCTTTATTTTTAAAAAATTCATACAAGTATTACAATATTATCTTTTCCCTGTAAGAATTAAAGTATAAAAACAAAATCTGAGCCGGGCTCGGTGGCTCAGCCTGTTACATGTTTTGATCCAACATATTTGTTGGATGAATGTATATGTATAAATGGATAGACAAATATTTTGGAGGATACACACTAAATAAGAGTGGTTAATTATCTCAAGGGATTGGAATGTGGGAGAGATGGTGGTTAAGGCAGATTTTTTTTTTTTTGAGTTGGAGTCTCACTCTGTCGCCCAGACTGGAGTGCAGTGGCCGCTCCCGGCCACCGCAGCCTCGACCTGCTGGGCTCTGGCGATCCTTCTGCCTCAGCCTTCCAAGTAGCCAGAATTATAGGCATGTGCTACCACGCCCGGCTGATTTTTTGATTTATTGTAGGGATGAGTTCTCGCTGCCCAGGCACTTGTATGTGCCAGGCACTGCTCTAGGCACTAGGAACATAGCAATGAACAAAAGAGGAAAATCCCTGGACTTTATAGAGCTTACATCTAGTGTATTTGTGCAAATGTATAATTTGTTGTTTACGGAAAAGGCATTATCTGCACTTAGTGGTTCTCCATCTTGCTTTTTTCACTTAGAAATATATCATGGTGATCTTTCCACACCACTGCATATGTGTGTTTATAGTACATTGTATTGTATTTATCTCAGTGTATGCATTTCATTAGTTATTTGAGCCATAACTCCTCTGTTGGGGTCCCAAACTCCAGTGCCTACAGGGGCTATGCAGATAACCAAGAGGTAAAGTGAAAAAATGAAGCAGGCATGTTTTGTTCTAAGCAAAAGTAGCTATCTATACAGACCAGAGGATTGTTAGCTTGAACAAGGTATACAGAATTCCAGTGGTTTAAGAATATTTGAAAACCTGGAATTTTGTAACAGAAATCCCTGATTTTTTAATATAGGCAGGTAATTATAGATTCTAAAGCACTGTTCAGGCTAAACATAACACACCTGCAGGACAGAGTAGCCCAAGAGCCACCAGTTTGCAGCCTCCAATCTAATAACTGTTCTGTTATTAAACATTAAAGTTAATTTCTTTTCTTTTATTTTTTTTTTAGTAGGAGTCTCACTCTGTTGCCCAAGCTGGAGTGCAGTGGCATGCTCACATCCACCACAGCCCTGACATGCTAAATTCAGGTGATCCTTCCGCCTCAGCCTTCCAAGTAACTGGAACCAAAGGCGTGCACTACCACACCCGGCTAATTTTTTTATTTATTGCAGAGACAAGGTCACACCAAGTTGCCTGGGCTGGTCTTGAACTCTTAGACTCAGGCAATCCTCTCACCTCTGCCTCCCAAAGTGCTGCGATTATAGGTGTGGGCCGCCATGCCTGGCTTGAAGTTAATTTCAGTGTTTGACACGGTGGAAATGCCTTCACAAGCAGTATTACACACATGTTGGAATATCTTTCTAAGGCAGTTTATAAGGAAGTAGAATTTCTGGGCCAAAGAGTACACAGGCATTTTTTAGTTTTAATAAGTGCTTCTTTTTAAAAATTACTTTTCATCTGCAAGTGTCCGAGAAAGCCTGTTTCTCCAAACACTTGCCAATATTTAATATGATCAATTACTTTGTTATTTACCATTCTGATGAGTGAAATGGCATCTAATTATTTGTTTGGCTCAACAAACACATAGCACTTAGAGTGTTCCAGGCACTGCTCTAAGCACTTTAAATATTTATTTTGAGTCGGAGTCTCACTGTCACCCAGGATGATCACAACTCACCACAGCCTTGACCTTTTGGGCTCAGGCAATCCTTTCACCTCAGCTTCCTAAATTGCTGGGACTACAGGTGTGTGTCACCACATCCAGCTAATTTTTTGAGGAGACAAGATTCCACTCTGTTGCCTAGGATAGTCTTGAACTCTTGGGCTCAAGCAGTCCTCTTACCTCTACCTCCTAAAGTGCTGGGATTACAGGTGTGAGCCACCACTCCTGGCAAAATTTTAAATACTCATCATTTAATCCTTATAGTAACCCTACGCAGTAGGTATGATGATGATGACACTTTTATAAATAAGTAAACTGAAGCACAGAGCTAGAAAGTATGAGAGCCAGGTTTCAAGCCCAGACAGTTGGGCTCCAGAATCAGTGTTCCTAATCAGTATGCTAGGCTGTCCTCAATGCAACTGGTAAATTTCTAGTGAAGCTGAATATCTTCTTTTTTTTTTTTTGAGTTGGAGTCTCACTCTGTCGTTCAGACTGGAGTGGCCACTGCAGCCTCGACCTGCTGGGCTCTGGCGAGCCTTCTGCCTCAGCCTTCCAAGTAGCTGGAACTATAGGCATGCGCTACCACACCCGGCTAATTTTTTGATTTATCGTAGAAATGAGGTCTCACCAAGTTGTCTAGGTGGGTCTCGAACCCGCGGGCTCAGGCAGTCCACTCACCTCAGCCTCTTTAATGTGTTTATTCATTTAATATTGTTTATTTAGAAAGTATATGAGAGAGAGAGAAAGAGACAGAAGATTAGAAGATTCACCTCCCCAAGGTAGGGAAGGGAGTCAAAGGAAAACATGACCTGGCCAATGTTCAGCTAAACAATGGCCAGACCAGGGCCTAGCCTCAATGTGTTTGTCAGCCAATTCTTTACTGTATAAATCAGAAATAAAATCCTAAGCCCCCTCCCCCCACACACACACACACACACCAGCTGAACAGACCCCTCTTGGCCAAAAGGACCCTAGGGAAACCTGAAAACTTAATTCCTCCTGGCCATGAAAAGAAAGGAGGAATTATACCCCATTATACTTCCTACCTTTTGGCACTTAAGTTAAAATAGAGATCATAAGACTGACAAAATGACTCTTTGTGCACAAAGATACTGCATTATAAACAAGACCTAAGGCCATGTAAAGCAGGTCTAAGTCACACTCTAAAACCATAAAATCTTGCCAAAAGTTTTTTTCTTAATCCCAGTGTAATGTGGCTTATTTTCCAATCAAACTCTGGTATATTGCATCACATGACAGACAGCAGACCCTGAAGGCAATAAAAATATTTTACCCCAAAATATATTTCTTTGACTTATTTTGAAATGACCCTGCAAAGTTGCTATTTGTGGGGGAAATTTACCTCTGGAGAGAATCTCCATAAATGCAACCAAGGACTCTTTTTCTAGACCCTTCTCGGATCTAGGAAAGATTAACTCAAGTCTTTAGATAAAGCTAACTCTTTCAACTAGTTGCCAATTAGAGAATCTTAGAATCCAACTATAACTTGTAAGCTCCAACACACACACACTTCAACATATATCGCCTCTTTAGGTTGAATCAATATACACCTTCCATGTATTGATTTATAATTTTATCTACAACTCTTATCTCCCAAAATAATGTATTAAAAACCAAACTACCTCTGGGTACACTTTCTCAGAACCTCTTGAGACCATTCTCTGGGTCATGATCATTCATACTGACTCAGAATAAACCTCTTTAAAACATTTTACAGGACTGAGCTCGGTGGCTCAACGTGTAATCCCAGCACTTTGGGAGGCTGAGGTGAGTGGATTGCCTGAACCCGCGGGTTCGAGACCAGCCCAGGCAACTTGGCGAGACATCATCTCTACAATAAATCAAAAAATTAGCCGGGCGTGGTAATGCACACCTGTGGTTCCACTACTTGGAAGGCCGAGGTGGAAGGATCGCCTGAGCCCAGCAGGTGGAGGCTGCAGTGGCCGTGAGCATGCCACTACACTCCAGCCTGGGCGACAGAGTGAGACTCCAACTTAAAAAAAAAAAAATTTTTGCAGTTCGCTTTTTCGTTGACAACTGTGAATTGCTTACTATTACCCTTCATCCATTTTCACTTGAGTTGTTTAGCATTTGCTTGTTCCTTTGCAGTACTTATTTACATATTTTACATATTTGCTAGAGTACAGGCTAAGTTTTCCTTAGTTTAGTTTTCTTTGAAAGCCGACCTGGAGACATGGATTTGATAAAAGTAGATTATTTTTTGGAGATATTTCTGGGAAACATGGTGACAGGGAAGCGAGAGAGTAAAGCGTGGAAAGCCAAGAAAGCAGCTGTTGATGAACGGGATACTACTGTGGGCATCTGGGGCTCAGTCTCACTGGGGGTCTTCTGAGAGGTTCCATAGACATGACTCAGAATTGTTCCACTGAAGGGCAAGGGAACTGGAATATTCACACAACCACTTCTGGGGCAGAAGGTCCCTAGCCCAAGTGCAGAAGATATCCTCAGGCAAAGAGACCCAGGAAGCCATCAGCAAGTACAGGATCTGCCTGTCTGCAGGTGACCTCCATGGTGGGTTGAGGGTTAGGGTGAGGAAACCTGCAATATCTGCTGTGCTTTTGTAACAGACTCCAATATCCAGCAGCCTTAACAGGAAAGCTTTTCTTTCACATTTAGTAGTCTAGGTAGGTGGATAGTGCAGACAACACTAGGACTCAGGTTCTTCCTATCTTGTTGCTTCACCCCTAGAGC